ATACGTGGACTTGCCAATAGCGTAATCTGAAGGACTGCTGTCTCCCCGCATGGACTAGCACTCACTCTGTACGCGTTCACTCCATGCCAACAGGACAGGAACGAGTTCCAGCAGGAAGATGCAGCGCATAAGCTCGTTCAGTAACTACCCCAGCACACCTCCTTGAATCCTGGCTGTATTCAGACAGCTTGGTGTGCAGGTGGTGCAAAGACAAGTCTTAGTTCTCTAAGGAGCAGATACGCAGTGCAAGGGCAACCTTCAGTCCCTTGATTTGGTTTATAGCAACATTTGCTTTTGCAGGTATTTTTGTGACTATGTGATTTTGCGCATGTCACATAATGAACAATGTGTGTTGCCAGTGCTAATGAGCAATTCAGCTATCTCTGCAGCAGCTTTTTTGGAATGCTTCAGATGTGCTATCTGTATACATTGCTCTCTATTGGTGATATTTAAGGATATTCTGCAAAGCGTGTTAGTTTAATTCCTGCTAACAGAGCACGTTCTTAGATTTGTTGGTATTCTTGTCTCTTGGGACAGTGAAGACAATATCCCGTTAGCAATTATAAGATTGCTATGTATCTGCTTATGTTCTCTGTTATTGTACACAGGTAAGCCAACATGTATAGTGCATCAAACTTAATCTGTGTATAGCAGGAACAACGTTTTCCTCCAAATATAGCTGCTATACTCCTATATACGCTCTGGATAACGACTTTGGATTCATGGCTCCTGTCACACTCATTCTCCATTGAATTCATGAATCTGCTGAAAGACTGCCTTTGCCCATTACTACCCAAACTCAATGTGATCAACACAGCATGGTGAACTACACGAGAAAATTCACTACCACACACTCCCAAGCCAGTATATGCAGAACTCTTGTGCCCTCTGCACCACCTATGAGATATTTCTATGCAGCCTTTTGAGACCAAATCACGGTAATTTAACATGGAGTATGAATTTTATACTGATCTCCTGAAATTAAACCTCCTTTAAATAGTTTTACCCTCATAAAATACTCTGGCTTGCTTTATTTGGCACATCTCAAGATTGTGAATCTGACAAAAATACTTCAGTTTTCTGAGTGAAATAGCCTGCTGGCATTGCTGAAATCTTGTATGTAGCTATGGCTGAAATTCTGACTGGTTTGACCCAATGAGAAAGATAAACCAAGTACTTGTCCACTGAGCAGTGACCCCGGGCCTGCATGTTTTCCCAGGTCTGTGAAACCTTCATGCAAAATTATCAAGTAAGAAAAAAACAGAGGAACATGTAGGCAGTAATAAAAGCTAAACTAGGAAAAATATAAGGTAGAAAAATATCTGGAAAAGACAATGCCAACCCACAAAGCCTTTGATAAAGAGTAACACACGCAAAACATATCTGAGCATATGACTTTCTTCTGCTTCTAGAATTTTACCAGGCACAAGTGTGGAGGCCAGAACAGCCGTAAAATCAGCAGACACGCAAGGCAACAGACCCCTCCCTAATGCCAGGAAATATTTCAAGACAATATTCTATGTCCATGCGGCGCTGAGATATTGCAATCACAAACGAAACCGTTCCTGTGAGCTATTTTACAAAAAAAAAAAAAAGGAAACCAAAGTTGCAAAAATTTGTAAAAATACAATTTGTCCTCCCTAAAAGTAATTAACGGAGCCGAGAAAAAAATATACAGGGAGATGTCCCAGAAACCATTGCTGCTAGGACATAACAGCAACCCGGACAGCCACAGGCCACCCGCGGCCTACCGAGGCGGGGCCGAGCTCAGCACAACATGGCGGCTGGGGGAGGTGGAGGGAGGAGGCG